TTCCGCAGTGTATTAAAGCATTGGAACCAGAGAATAGATTTCTAGAACCTATAGATTTTTAGCTATAGTAGGCATTTCAGATAAAGGTTCTAACTACGACTAAAATAACTACTCCTATGGACAAAACCACTTATACACAATAAGAATTTGATGAGATATAATGATTTACTGAAAAAAAAATCTTAGAAACAAGAGATCAATAGAGGGAACTTCCAGATTATACATGACAGTGTAACATAACAAAGAAAAAAGAGACAAAAAGATCTACACTTATTTGAATGAGATTTCATCTTGATACTATGAAGACATGCAAAAACGTTAGAATTTTGACAAATTTGCATCCGACTTGATTTTTTTGGAAATGAAACCGAAAAAAATGCGGCAAAGATAAGGTATGAACAATGCTCAACTATCAATTACAGATGAAAGTTTATCAATTATATTATCAAGCAACAGTTCGTGCTGATCTAAAATTCAATATCTTGGAAAAATTTAAGTCACTTCCATTCAACGTCATGATGATTTTCAGGTTTTCGTTGGTAACCCTAGAGTAGACCAATAAAAAAACCGTAAGTAAATTAGACCACGTAAAAGATAGTCGAAGATACGTAATAGTTTGTATTCATAAGGATGGAAGTACTAAGATAACGTAACTACGAAAGTCTGGAAAAAAAATACTGGAGAATGGCGATTAGCAACACAATTATATTATCGTTAATCATCATCAAAGTTATCAGATGAAAGATGCCCTCTATTTTGAGTCGCATGATGCTGTGCTGCCATAGCTCGTTCTCTCTCAGTTTGAGCCTTGCTTCTCTTGTCAAATTCTTTGCGAATCATTAAGGCATCATAATCGGCTTTCAAAACCTCCAGCCTATATCGAAGAAACTCCGCTTTCTCGAATAGTCTCACTAATCGCAGCTGAAACTGATATAATGTCCTCAGAACTGATATAGAAAGACAAGTTTGAAAAACACCTGCTCAGGACTCCACTCCGTAGGGTCGTCCACCTCTTCGAAGTCGTAAGGGGAGTCTTCATCAAGAACGCCACCAAAAACTTTGTACATCGTCAGCAATCTCATAAACAGTTTGCGGAAGTCCAACTATAACAAAAAACATCCTGCACTCAAACGCTCTACATT